TCAAACCAATCTTTCTATTGCTTGCTCTATTGTGCTGAGAAACCAAGTTGCTGACYATGACAGTAGTTGAAAGTTTTACGCCCTTAAAGAATGCTGGCTGGCAATGTTTAAGCACGTTCAGTCTGACACTGTATTGAACATATACAGATTTAATACATGGAATACATGGAACCAAAGCAGCGAAAGTAAGGCCAGGAGTGACAGCATTGATCAAAACTCTGGAGAAGACAAAATGCTACAGGATGTTTTTTTGGAGGATGCTAGTTTCAAATTTAAGTAGATTGCATTTCTGCAGGCCCTTGAGATCTAATGAATGTATGTAATACTGGGAGTGTATGACCTCTCAATTGAGCATACAGCTCTAACTTCCAGTCAGCTATGAATAGCATCCAGGAGTAATGCAGCCACTATTACATTCTGCTATTATGAGATAGTGCTATTCTGCAAGACAAACGTGAAATCAGGCATATTGTTCATCAGCAGAATTAAAAATAAGTTTGTAAACAYACACAGATCCATAAAGCAAACTGGTTTTGTTGAAGATGCTCTTATCTCTCTTTAAGATCTTTCTTTCTATCACCTACTAGAGACCGTGGAAATATTTCTATTGACTCAACTAAATATTGGACTACTTGAGCTACAGGAAAAGCAACATTTTCCTATCACCAAGTAATAGTACATCTATTTGTTGTTTTATTTTCTGTTATAGTATTTACGTATATCTTTTTTTTTTTTCAAAAATTTATAATAACTTTGAATATGCTATTCAGATTTGCTATAAGGGGTTTGAACGACCAAAAATGCTCAATTCAACGTCAAAAATCTCATTAAGCAAATAGACAACCTAAAAAGATCTTTTTTTAAAACAGACTTATTGCGATTCTTATTTTACTGTGTCTTTAAGCACCAGAATTGAAAATCATCGTTAATACTTATAATACTTATTAACACTAGATAGGTTTAAGTGTTTTTTAATTAATTACCACTGTTTTGCCTATTACCATCTTCTAGTGATGAGAATCTAGCCTAAATAAGCATTCTGTTAAAACAAACATAAGAACCTCAGATTAATTGTATATTTGCTTACTCTTCTCATTGCATTCCTGCTACTGAGTTACAGAAATTCCATGTATTTCAGTACATCTGTTACGGTATTTCTAAGAAAGAGAAAATGAGAACATGAGAGTTATCACTTACTATTCATGCAGTTATATGCACATATGCTCAGGGGCATGGTTCAACAGCTCTCTCTTTTGGCAAAAGGGCAGCTGAAGTGACTGCTATGACCCCTTTTCCCCATTTGGTGCCAGCTCCTGTGATGTATCTGCCTCTCTGGGGCAATATCACATGATAAAAATTACTTGTCTTAAAAACAAATAAATAAAGCTATTTTAAACGTTGCATTCCACAGTCTGTTGAATGCAAATTATTCAAATGCCTCCTAAAGGGGGTGAGGGCCCTGCTTGGAGTTGGTAACACGGTCAAAAAAATCAAACTTCAGTCCAATGACGGCGCCGCTGCTCGCGGCTCGCCTCCCGCCCACTCATGCGCGCCCTGCGGGGCAGACCTGGTTTCCTCGGGACGTGAGGGCTGCTCCGCGCCCGCCTTTAAACCACAGCGGCTGGCGGGGACAGGGACCCCGCAGATGAGCCCTGGGCGACAGCGGGAGCCCCGTCACCGCTCGCGCCCCTCCCCCGCGGGCGACCGTTAGGCGGCAGCGGCCGTTAGGCCGTTAGCGCCCGGCGCGCGCCGCCCGCCTCAGGCGGCTCCAACGGCAGCTCCCGGACGGCTCCTCCCGGGAGAGGGGCGGCCTGTAGCAAGGCCAAATGCATGCGTTTTTGATTATTTTTCCACACAGCTAGCGTTAAGCGTTAAGAGGGATCCGTCCCGCGCCTTTGGCTTTCACACCCTCTCTTCGAAGCACGGGCAGGCATCTTAAACCTGCAGCCTCGCTCTTTCATTCCGAGGCTCGGGGGAGCGGGACGCGCGGCACACGGCGGCGTCGCCTCTTTCGGAGACATTTTAAACCGCGGCGGGGGAAGAGCACCCCGCTGCGGCCGGCGGAACCGGGTGGCTCCGCGGGGCGGGGATCGCGCAGCAGCAGCACATTTTAAGCTGCGCTTTAACCGCTGCGCTATAATTAGGCAGCGGGAACTCTCTTGGCGCAGCGGAGCGGCGACCCCRCGTTCACACCGGTCTCCACCGCGCAGGCACAAGCGAGCGCGGGCACCGGCGCTGAGGGGGAAGGGACACGCTCCTGGGCGCTACCACTGCGGCCCGAGGCGGGGGAGGGGGGAGGCAGGAGGACGAGCAGAGACTACCTCTCGCTTCGGCGCAACCTGCTTCCTTAAAGCCGCCCAGCGGTCGGGGCGGGGGGATAAAAATAATAAAACCTTCAGGAGAAGTTGGCATCACGTGCTGCTTCCTCCCAGAGCACCGGGGCTTCTCACCGGCTGCCTCCTTCCTCCCCCTCGCGACAAGTGGTACGAGCCGCGGCCAGCCGCACAGGTGTGGCCGGTGGGACAAACCAAGCGTGGCCGGGGGGGCGCGCGCGTGCGTGTGTAGAAGAGTGATGAGAAGTGGCGAGGCGGGAGGGCAAGAGTGGGACGGGGCTGGAGGCGGCCGCATCATCGCAGCGCGACCGCCGCGGGAGATTGAAGCGCCGTCGCTGCTGGGGCCCTGGCGGGGCGAGAGGGAGGCGGCGCCGCTCCCGCGAGTCGTTGTCCGCAGCGGGGGGAGGAAGGGTGGAAAGGGGGAGCGCGCCCGCCCCTCCTCCGGTAAGTGCCAGTCAGCGGGGGGGAGGGGTGCGGGGCGCGTCCGCGGCGGTTGGGGGGCAGTTAAACGGCTGGCGTGGGCCCGCGCCCGAGGCCCGGCCCAGCCCGGGGCGGCCGGGCCCGCCTGGGCCGCGGAGCCGCTGCCCTTGCGGCGGGCTCGGAGTGTGGTGGTGGCCGCAGGCCCCGGGGCCGCCTGTCTGCCCCAGCGCCGGGAGTGGCTCGCCCCGGCGTGATTTGCCGGCCGGAAAGATGATTATTCAGTGTATTTATTTGGTTAAATCGTAGCTGTGTGGAGCGGGGAAGGGTGCACGTGAAGCTGGCCGAGAGCGGSTCTCCTCTCTCAAGGTTGCAGTTGGGTGAGGCGGTAGGAGGTGGCGGCAGTGCACCCCCTTGCCCTGCAGTTAGCACAGCCGTGCAGTGAGTTGAATCATACAGCTGAGCTTGTCTAGAGAGAGAGATAATAATAATAAAAAGCTCTTTGGTTGAGTCAATTTCCTGAGCTGACTGGACAGTAGCGGTAGGTGCAGAGGAACCTCCAGTATCTGCAGATGCTGCTTTGGTGACAGCACAGGTTGAAAGTATTGATGAACTTGTTGCCGATTASCCCCTTGAGTTAGAATTTGGACATCTTGACCTCCTTACTTTGAAGTGACATTCATCCTAAGGCTCTAAAGGACTTTAGGTGCCCTTTGATTATGTTTCTCCATAACCCTTTGAAATTGTGTATGTATTGGCATTTTTTTTTCAGTGGGAATTTTACCTTTTTAGAAATAAATGTCATCTTTTTGTAGCAGTGCATGAGCAAAAATGTGTGTAGGTGGTCATTGCCTGATGGACTTCAGGAACTGGACACAAAAAAGRGCATGCTCTTGGGAAACTGACAACTATGTGACAGAACTAGATTTGTATATATAAATCTAGTRTATAGATTTATATAATCTAGTATTTATATAATGTATATATAAATCATATATAAAAGTGTTCTTGATTCTATCAAATATGATGAGGTGTCTGAACAGATATGAGGTATTTGCCTTTTGTCTAACTGGTCTCTGAATCACAGTGACAAAAGGCTCAAATATGAGGTTTGTGAATGTGCTAAAGAGAGTGCTTCTGTCACTATAGATGATTAGTAGAATGGGGAGAAATCGAATATTTCAAAGAAATTCYGCAACTGGATACTAGTTTGACAGCTCACAAAAGCATTTAGTACTGTGTGAATCTATGGAAAAAGCAACTGCTGCATGCAGGAATCTGTTACATTTAATTTCTTAGGCAAATATGGCAGCTGAGGCAGTGCCAGTGGTTGTTTATAGTTCAGCACTCCCTTTTGGGGAGAAGTTTTTGCTTTCCCTCCAGTCCTTCCCTAGTGTCCATACCTCACATTCTCTGTCTTAAAGGCCTTATATCCCCACATGGTTTAAACGGTTCTCTGTACCTCAGGTGTCATAAGGGCTTTTCTTTTGCTTCTGTGCTATAGAGACCGCTGGGAGATTTCTTCAGGTTCCTGTAGACCGGCTCCTTGCTGGTAAACTTGGGCCCCTTAGAAAAGTTTGATACAGGTGATATAGAACTATTACCATACACAGTCTGGCTTGTAATTCCTGCTTTCCAGTCTGTTACTATTGTATACAGATTGCATCACAACTTCAATCATTGCTTTCCCAGGCCTTGTTTCTGTCAGCCAAAAGTGAAAATTAGAATTTTTACATGATTGTCCAAGAGAATTTTGAGGGCAGTAGCAAAAGGAAGGGGGATGAGAGTATAAGGAGTTTTTCTGAGAGTTTCTCATSGTGTCTGGTTTAGGTTCAGTGACTAGAAGGGTCATTTTTTTCTCACTTCTCTACTCTTTCTGATCTCAAAATCCAATAACTTAAGCTAAAGAGTAACTGGCAACATTTTACTTACCACACATGCAACTGAGTGTTTCTAGCTTTCCCTTTAGGTAAGTTACAAGTCTTTGTAAAGCTTTGCACACCTGGAAAGCTCTCTTTCTTGTCAAAATGTGTACATCAAAATGTTTCCACAAGTGCCTAATACCTGTTCCTGAAATACCACACATAGTGTAGGTCACTTACTGTAATAAAAAGCATGTTTGTTTGCCCAGGGCTCAAGGCGCTTGCGTYGGGGAGGCTGCTGCTTCCTGCTGTGTGAGACTACAGCTCCCAGAAGCACCCGGGCTGCCGGCTGAAAGTGAAAATAAACTTTAGATTGCCCTGTTTTTCTCTGTAGCACATGTCCTTTCTCTTTTGTTTTCTGCCTGCAGCCCCAGTGCCTGCTGCATCTACCTAAACACTGGGAAATCGCTGCCTGGAGGAAGAGGTCGGATCGGGACCCTGCTGGAGCAGCTTCCAGGAACTGCTGCTAAGCCTGCTAGAGAAGCCAGCAAGCGCCACTGCGACTAGAAGTCTAGACTTCAGTGAAAGTTCTTCAGCCTGCGATTCCCACATGCAAGTTGATAACCTAAAACCTGCTGCTTTTCCTGTTGCTGCTGCTGCTGCCTCCAGTGCAGAGAAAGAGGCCAGTGCTCCCTGTCCTCACCTGCTGTGGTTCCCTTTGCCTGGCCTTAGAGCTACCCCGTGGGTTTGCTATACCATGTGGGGCTAAGAGAGGGGCAGTGTTCAGCAGGAAACATGGAGACAGCAGGTAAAGCAGATGGCGGGGAGCAGAGTCATCCAAGCAGCGGCGCAGATGCTTCTGGAGACACTTCTATGGACCGCTACTTGMGATCTCAGGGCTTATATAGAAAGAGAGTTGCCAAGGATGGATCTTGTCTCTTCAGAGCTGTGGCTGAGCAGGTAGCTGTTTTTTTTCAAATAAAGCTGCTTTTCACAAAAGCATGGCAAATGGTGAATCTTAGTAGTGGGTGATAATTAATGTTAAAATGCAAACAAGTACAGGTTAATATGACACAGTTGTGTGTCAAGAAAAGAGAGGAGGTGTCTGTCTTTGAGAGAAACATTCTATTGTGTACAACATTCATGTACCATTAAGAAAATAAGCTTTTTAGTTTGACATCGATTCCAGTTTTCATTTGAGGTTTCAGTATTTGGGGACATATAAAATTGTGTAGGAAAGTGAAATTGGCAGGAGGAGCTTAAGAGGTTTATATTCTTTTAAGTGTTTTGTTGTATTATTGGAGAAAATGAACAATTTTATTCTTCCTGCTAAATTCTCCCTTCCTTGTTTTGGTGTAACTTGAAGGAAAAAAGTGATAGCATCTTAAATAAAAAACAAACAGTGGCGAGAGTKTTGGTGCTTCTGTTTTGAGAATTAAAACACCTGTGCTACTACATAGGTGTGTGTTTTTGTTTTGTTTTTTACTACTTTCTCTACTAAATTTTAAGATGTTAGACAAGYGTTATTGTTCTGAAAGTAACTTTTATGTCAGGGCAATAATGAATACATTGATCTCTTGATGTCTTGAGACTTGATGTCTTGAAGTCTTGAGACTTCTTCCTCAGTCCACTGAGACTTTTTTTCCACCCCTTGAATTTTTAATACTTGGTTCTTATTGACTTGAACAGAGAGTAGAATGCAGGTTTTGTACTGGAATTTGAAGTTCTGCTTTCCAAATAAATGTTTGGACAACAGAGCTACACCTCTTAAATCAAGGGAATGTGATGCTGCACTCTTGGATTTAGCTAGTTTTTGGTTTTGACACACAGTACTAGATTTCATCATCCCTTTCCACAGTGAAAAAGTCTTACTTCATCAAGTAAAATAAAGTTATTTACAGAGAGGTCAGAAAAGGACAACAAACGCTGTTCTAATACTTTCTCTCAGTAAATCTTCTTGGAGTTTAATTTTGAATTTCGTATATTTGAGAATTCCGCTGTTAATTATCTTTAGCTGGGTAATTGAGATTTTACTTGCATAAATACTTCACTTCTGAGTAAATGTCTTAGAATAGTTTTATTTCTAAGAATGTTTATTTCAAAGCAGTATTTAGCATCCAGAAATTGACTATTTATACTCTTTCCTCAAAAATCATAAGAACTAGTGTCATTTTCTTCCGTTTTTCCTCTTACAGGTGTTACACTGTCAGTCTCGGCATATCGATGTACGGATGGCTTGTGTAGACTATCTTCGGAAAAATAGGGAGAAATTTGAAGCAGTAAGTATATGTACTTTTTTCTTTCTCCTCCTAACTGTTTTAAAACCTTATTTTATTCCTTCCACTTTTATAATGTGTAAAGTTTGTTGTAGCTGTGCGCTAGTTTATAATTTTTAAAGTCCATGCTCCTTAAGTTAACTGACTTGTATGGTAGTAACTCATGTTCAAATCTTAGAGAGATCTGTACTGCTTGGACTAGAAGGATACTGGGAAGAGTAGGAGCACTAATGTTCATTTAGAGCAAAAAAAAAAAATCCCAAAACAACAAAAAACTTACACACCTTTCAACTCTTTTAGCCTCTAGTGATACTATCAAAATGTGAAATGATTTTATTTTTGTATAATATACTTGTTAAAAATAACAATGTTCCTATGATGATTAAATGTTTTACAATAAATTTGCCTTCTGAACTGTGTTATAATCTACAAGCTGTTGATATTCTTGCTTTCTGGAACTCAGACCTATATTTTTGACCATTTCTTCCTTTGTTTTGCATTGCCTTGTATTTATATTGTGAGTTTTTTGAGGATGGAGTTTTCTAAAGTTTCTATTGAWAGTTTATCATTAGTACAGCAGGTCTATGTATCCTGTGTGCTCCGCTAATAAAGATTATAATTGGTTTGTACTATTTTTTTAATACAGTTCATAGAGGGGCCCTTTGAAGAGTACTTAAAATGTTTGGAAAATCCACAGGTATGTTGAACTTGGTTATTATTAGAAAGCAGTACTTTTATTGATGTTAGCTTTTGCAGGAAAAACAAAACAACTGACTTGACTGAGTTTGAGGTCTTTGCTATGTATATGTCCCCTATTGTGTGAAGATATATATCTTGATTTTAAATATTTATCTTTCCATGAAATGAGGTTCCAAATGTTTCCAGCCTCTGGAAAACATAACAACAACAAAAATCCTAAAACAACCACATAACATGCCGCATTCCCCCCTGCCCTCCC